TTTCTATCTGGCCGTTAATGTAACTTGTAACGCTTTCTGATTTTATTTTGACTGAATATGTTACATACATCTGTTCAATAACAGAAATTCTTAGATTCCCAGAAGAATTTTCACTGTTAATAATTTTGTGGCAGAGATTTATGTACATTCATTTTGATACTTATGTGATATGTATTTGAACTGATTGCAAATACCCTGAAATAGAATTTCTTCTCACAGGTGAACATGTCAGCATCAGAAAGCCAGTTTTACTTTTTATTTACCATCAACAGTTGATGAAAAATATATAGTAGTTATCTGAGACTATTTATTTTTTATGTTTGCTCAACGTTGACCTTGATCCTTTCTTCCGTCACACTGGTTGCAGGACTTTAATGTACCAAATAATTGTTTTATAATTATAAATGTCCTGTAGAATTAATTGGAATATTATATTATCCTTTTATAGCTTTTTAAATGTTACCTACTGTAAAGTGTAGATTTTATAAATCATAAAAAATACATCAGTTAATGTGATTATAATTTAACACACAATTTATAATGGATATTTTTTTTTAATTCTGTAAATCTCCATTATAAGTAAATAATAAGTTATAACTGAACTATAAAGCATTTGTACAATATTTATTAAACACAAATAAAGCCATGATTTTAACTGATAAAGCTGTTATTACAAAAACATCAGGAATTGGTGCCCAACAATGTAGGATTATTAAGATCAGATAAAGATTCCAAAGAGATGCAGGTGCCAACTTTCTTTTCTGTTTTTGTGAAACAAGGGGAATATAATCTGTTTCTATTGTTTTGGAGTGTGTGCCTAGAAATAGCCACACTATCAGATTGATATCACTTAACCTACTTGTGTTGTCTCTGTCCCAGAATTTGATGCTCAGCTTGATGGTGAGTTGGAAATATTTGATATCCGTTTTAATCTCTACATGTCATACTGCATGTACATTGTTACATCATTAACGTTTGAAAGCACAAACTTGTATTTGTATTTCATCAAAATAATTCTTTTAAAGTGTTGTGACTGACCTTAACTCTGAAGTCTAACTCTACCTCATTTCCAGTATGTGGCACTGTGCCACTCAGCACCAGGATAGTTGGAGGTGAAGATGCTCCGGGGAATGCAGAAATGATTCTGGCTACAGTTCCTGGACACTTCGTTTGGATTTTATGCCTGCAGGTTTGACGGCCGAAAGAAACCTGCCATCAAGACTACTTGTTACTGAAGAAAAATTATAAAATGCATCAGTTTTAAAAAGATGGTGGAACAGAAGAAATTGCCAAAACCACAGACCTGACCCAAAAGTAAATCTCAATCCTCCTATTATACAGTTACAACCTGGAGAAGTCAGTGAGCCAGCAGACATCACCCACTTCCTCTGTTGATGAAGGAACCACCACCAAAAACTGGCGTGCCAAAGATCCTGCAGACTGACCTGCCAGGGCCAACTGCCAAGCT